TTTTTTTTTTTTATATATATATATATCCTATATCACAGTACGAGAAATGCTACATGTTTCCCAATCATCAGCAAATGTCATCAGATATAAACATCGCTCATGTAATTTCCGCATGTAACGATCTCAATTATAGCAATCGTATTTCTCTACTTGACATATAATTCTTATATATTTTGAAAATAGTTTCTGTTTATATATCCTTTTTTTTTTTTTTTTTTTTTTTTTTTTTTTTTTTTTTTTTATCAATTTTACATATATTGTGTAATCTATACATAAATTTATCGTAAATTTGAAGAATAAATTAAGTTAATGCGGTACCTACCAATCTCTGTAAAATATAATACATATAGGTAATTCGACCTTCTCAAATGGACAAACCTACTGAAATATTGTTGTAGTCCGGTAATTTCTTATCACTATCCCAGAGCAAGATTTTTTTGCTCAAGTAGTTTTTTGTCTTGAGCTTTATCACTTTTTAATATATTTTATATCTGTACATCTTTGTTTCTATGATTCGATTGGTTGATTGAATTGCGCCGCTAGACGTCTTTTCCCTTTAATTACTGAAACAACAATAGTTACAATTTAGTATTTTAAAATATATATTATTATCCACATCATTGTTCTATAGAATGTTTTCTTACAGAAAACAAGTTTTTCTTTCAATAAATAAACACAGTGTCAAAAATTTATATATTTTACATATTTATAAATCACTTGAACGTGTTGTATCTATATACGGATTAGACTTACAGAGCTTACTGGAAGTACTGTGACTATCGCTTTCATCATCAATAGTGTTATCCTCGCTTTCGGAACTTGTAAGATTGAAATGCATCCTCGCGTTAACGGCAGTTTTCTTCTGATTATCGGTAGACATATTTTTCTTGGGCGTTAGCGATAGTGAAGGTAGCGGCAATTCTGACGGGTGTGGTGCAACAACGGACTTGGTATAGTAAGGGGAACTAGGCGGGTACAAAGGATTCGCAGCGGCAGGTAATAGATTTTTGGTTGGCGATAGCAAGTTTGACGTACCGTCGCCGGATAGAATTTGATTCCAGCTCGGCAAGGTCAATGGAGGGACCTTTAAAAGAATAAACAAAAACAAATTATAACTAGAACTGGTGAAATAGACCTTCCGGTTATGAAACCAAGATTGAGGTGGCTTAAATAAATTCAAACAGTATCCGTCCAGTGAGAGGCTGATGATGATCTAAAAAATAAAGATCGAAACGTTCTTCTGATCTCTGTTTTTTGGGGGATACTGTTTGAATTTATTTAAGCCACCTCAATCTCGGTTTCATAGCCGGAAGGTCTATTTCACCAGCTCGAATTATATTACGGCTGTTTTTTATTCTTAAATTATAACTAATTATATAGAAAAAAAAACAAACAATTTTCATAATTGTCACATATATATATTCAACAGAAGAATAAAATTTTACTTGTACGTTCGTTGAATGCTCATCTTGCGGGTATGTAAATTTTGTTGGGGACATCCACGATTTCCAATGTTCTCTCTTGTACGTGATATCCTGCGAGAAAAAAACAAATTAATAAACTAATCCGTAATTCGCTCGTGAAATTGTCAAGTAATGAATCAAAGGGCCGATACGAGCAGCAAATACAAGGTGATAGTGTATGAAAAGCAGTTTTTTTTTATTAAAAGACAGACGTTTCGGTCCATGAGTTTGGACCTTCTTCGGTGAAACAAATTAATGCAGGATGGAAAACACAAGTGAGATGAACAACTTGATATAAAGACGGATAAGAGAAAGAAACTGTGTACTGACCACCCGTGTCAGTAGTTTCTTTCTCTTGTCCATCTTTATATCAAGTTGTTGTTTTGTTTCAACTGTGTTTAATAATGCTGTGATCTCCACGTGTTTTCCATCCTGCATTAATTTGTTTCACCGAAGAAGGTCCAAACGTCCATGGACCGAAACGTCTGTTGTGTCTTTTAATAAAAAAAACTGCTTTTCATACACCATCACCTTGTATTTACTGCTCGTATCGGCCCTTTGATTCATTATTTGTTAACTAATATCGTACCAAGTTCTTTTACAGTGTATGTGAGTGTGTATACAGGGTGATTCAGAACAACCCGTTATCCTTGAAAATACATATTCTTGACTAAATTCTACGACAACTTTTTATTTGGCAAAATTTTGTCTGAAGCTTACTTTTTGAGTTACTAATAAAAATAGTTGACTTACCACAAGTCGGATGCAAGAGGTAGGCAGAGACACGGCGCAACTCACCGTCAGAGACGCGGGCGATTACGTGTGGTGCCTGACGCGATCACCTGATCGCTACGCATTGTTTCTGTATCTTTTTCTGTCTCTCTCTCTCTTTTTTTCTCTTACTTATTTATTTACTCATTCGTAATTTGTATCATTTAATCCGTGCATCACATAAATTACTGTCAATCACGGTGAGTTGCGCCGCCCCTGCCTACCTTTTAAATCCGACTCATGGTACGTCAAACTATTTTTATTAGTAACTCAAAAAGTAAGCTTCAGACAAAATTTTGCCAAATAAAAAGTTGTCTTAGAATTTAGTCAAGAAGAAGATATATATATTTTCAAGGATAACGGGTTGTTCTGAATCACCCTGTATACGTCAGAATATAAATATCTTTGTAATATTTTAACATTACAATAAAATAAGAATACCTCAAGCGGCGAATCGGGCTTAGGTGGCGGAGGAGGGAAGTTACGTTGCAATCTGGGTGTGCGTATCAAACTGTTCAAGAAGCTTTCACCGCCACTTTCCGGAAGTGACCAGTTAATAGAGTGTTCTTCCGCACTTGGCAAATTATTCCAATATTTGTTCCGATTCTCCGGCCATAAAGTTTTCTCGTTTTTTATCTTCCAAGAACTAACCGTTAAGTTGTCCATCCAGTTCTCGTGATCGTCCATTATGTTCACAGCTGAATTAATGCGACATGAGGAATCGCTCTCGAACGATTCGTTACTGGAATCCGTATCTTGATAGGACGACATTGGTTTGAATATTGTTGGCAAAAGTATACCTGCCGCAGCTTGCAGAGAAAACATTTGAGTTATAAGAAAGAGCGTCTCGTAAATCGCAAATATACAGGGTGTCCCAGAATAGCCGTACAATCTCTCGTAGGCAGATAGAAGGAATAAAACTGAGTCGAAAAGTCCTGAACCATTTTTTTCTATTATTTATAATAAAGGAGTAATTATTGAGTAAAGCGGGCCAATCANGCTGATTGGCCTGATTTACTCAATAATTACTCCTTTATTATAAATAATAGAAAAAAATGGTTCAGGACTTTTCGACTCAGTTTTATTCCTTCTATCTGCCTACGAGAGATTGTACGGCTATTCTGGGACACCCTGTATATATATATATTATGCGTTAATTCCTTGTTTATTACCTACCAGCTAACTTTTTGTTTAAATAGATAATCGCCTCTTTTTTTCGTGTCTCTTTTATTGTCACGGTACAGGGTAAGGCTTGTAAAAGCGCGGTTATTGTTGGGAAACCGTATTGTGCGGGTTTACAAGATGAACCTATGATGGCTGCGTAAGACACATCAAACTGCGATAAGTTTAATGCACCGCCGCAATTCATCATTACGCGATAAAGATCACAAGCAAACCGATGTAACGGTGTAAGTTCAATAAATTGTTCGCCGTTTATTACTGTAAACTGCAAAAACATATAATTTTTAACATATACACAACACAAATATTTCTACAACATTTCGACTTTTGTTTTAGCACAAAATTGTCAAAAATGTTCAGTACTTAAAGAGTTCTACGTACCCGAACAACGTCTGCCAAATCTTTCATAATTTCGTCCAGATTGCACTGTTTCAAGTAACATTGGGAATATTGTTGGACAAATTCTCTGACCGGCATTTTGAATTGAAGTTGCTCCATGAGCAAACGTCGACATTGGAGAGTTGTTTGTTGCAAGTGCGACTTGTCTATTGTAATGATGGCCGGTCCTGTGGCCAAATCTATGATCTGGCGACACGACAAGAAAGAAAATTCAAATAAAGTTAAATGTCAAATTTTAAGCGCTATAAAAACTAGATTATACAATACATATATATAGATGACATTATTACTTGAATGTAATCTCCAAGCTTATGCATTAATTGTAACATAGAAGTGCAACCGAATAATTCGGGTCGTAATGCGTAACCAAACTGACGTAGAAATGCTTGCGCAATGCTGGAGATGCTGATACCACCTTTGGCACGGGTGACCAATTTTGATATCTGCTCGCCTAGTACTTTCAGACCCTCCTTTTCGGTGAGCGATATCTGTCTTTCGCCTCCGTTCACCTCATCAATCTTAACTACATCCGGAATTGCCTCGAACAATTCGATCAGTTTGGTAAATCCGTAATCCGACACGCGACACTGATGACCGAAATGATGATGATAGGAAGGTACAAATTTGTTGAACAACATTCTACATTGGGGCGCGTGTTGCAACAATTCGACAACCTGTTAAATCGAAAGAAGAATCGAGATTTTATTAACAATTAATAAAGAAATTTAAAGGCTCTGAAGTAATAACTAAGAAATGAATAAGGTCGATACGAGCCACTTTGCAGGATGTTATGCTGAAATGTTCTATTATATATATGTATACATATATACAGGGTGTCCCAGAATTGCCGTACAATCTCTCGTAGGCAGGTAGAAGGAATAAAACTGAGTCGAAAAGTCCTGAACCATTTTTTTCTATTATTTATAATAAAGGAGTAAATTATTGAGTAAATCAGGCCAATCAGCGCCGACCTTTAGCCAGGCGCACGTCAGTGAACTGCGCGGAATGCTTACACACACCAGGCGCGTGGCTCATTGACGTGCGCCTGGCTAAAGGTTGGCCTGATTTACTCAATAATTACTCCTTTATTATAAATAATAGAAAAAAAATGATTCAAGACTTTTCGACTCAGTTTTATTCCTTCTATCTGCCTACGAGAGATTGTACGGCAATTCTGGGACACCCTGTATATATAATAGAACATTTCAGCATAACATCCTGCAAAGTGGCTCGTATGACCTTATTCATTTCTTAGTTAATCGAGATTTTACTTTATACTCGAATTCAATAATAATTCTCTCAATGAGTTTTTGCATTTTGCACATACTTCCTTGGCAAACAATTTTGTTCGCTCGATCTCTTCTATGGTCTGTTCGCGTTTGGGAATAGCTATCATTTTATCTCCTCCCTCGATAGGCGTTACAACGACCGTACTTTCGGACACTTCACCGAGAATATCGTCGATCTCGCATACACCGTAATCTACAATATCCCACGGTTTTGCTGCAAAAAAAAAAAAAAGATAATAATCTTGATTTCTGTGCGTTGCAATTTTATATAAACACGCGCGCGCAAATCGGTATATATATATATATATATAGAGCTATTTGTACCTATTACTCTTGTATAAACACTCGGAAATTCGGAAAGCGCCACTTGTTTACTTGCTTTGGATTTCAATACTCGTAATAAATCCGAAGTGAATCGGCGTATCTGCGCGCGATGCGATAACGTAACTACGCGTTTGTTACCTTCGCCCATTACCTGAACAAAAAATACACACGCAATGATTTGTAGATTGGTCGTTTTAAAAAGTTTTTACCATCTTTTGAGACACATTGTTCAATTTACATACTTGGACTGTGTGTGTAAGTGCCTCTAGCAAATCAATTAGTTTAGTGAACCCATAATCAGCAACTCTACATTGTCGTCCGAAGTGATGATGATAAGCTGGTATGAATCGATTAAAGGGTAATTGGCAGTGCGGTGCGGTTTTCAGAAGATCGACTAATTCGCGACTAAAAAGGGCTAACTGATTTGCAAGCGGTGGACTCACGCACTTAGTTTCTGAAAGAAACAACGTGTTATGTGACGTTTATAAAATTTGATAAAAGTAGTTTGTTTTTTTTTTGTTTTTTTTTTTATTTTTTACTTAATTTCTATAGAAGAGACAAATTACCCTCGTGGTTATTTTCCTGCTCTTTCTTTCCTATCCATACAATATATTTCACGCAACCGATGTCTTGTCTCAATTCAACGGACGATAAGCATGATACCAGATGTTCCAATGGTACACCATTTTCTACGATTTCTAACTGTTCTTTGAATTCGACTTCATAGCAGTTCGGAAGACTAAAATTATTCAATTTAATAAGATTGAGTGATACGCGCGTATTTTAAAGTTTGAAAAATTAATGATAATAAAAATACAGAAACATTACATATGTATATATATATATGTGTGTGTATTTACACATATATATTTACATACGTATCATTACATACGTATACACATACATACATATTAGTTTTATATACAGGGTGTCCGACAATTACTTTAACATCTCTCGTAGGCAGGTAGAAGGAGTAAAACTAAGTCGAAAAGTCCTGAACCATTTTTTTCTATTACACATAATAAAGGAGTAATTATTGAGTAAATCAGGCCAATCAGCGCCGACCTTTAGCCGGGCTCACGTCAGTGAGCCGTGCGGAGCGCTCACGCACACCAGACGTGTGGTTCACTGACGTGGGTTCGGCTAAAGGTCGGCGTTGATTGGCTTGATTTAATAATTCAATAATTACTCCTTTATTATACGTAATAGAAAAAAATGGTTCAGGACTTTTCGACTCAGTTTTACTCCTTCTATCTGCCTACGAGAGATGTTAAAGTAATTGTCGGACACCCTGTATATTACTATTATATACATATATGTATAATGGTAATATATAAAAATATTATTAAGAATTTATTTGCATAAAAAAAACTTAATAAAAATTGCTTACCTTGGCAAAGGTAGAATACCGCTGTGCGATGCCAATAATTGTTGCATACGAAATTCAAGAATTTTCAAAGAAATTTTTACATTAGGCAAGGATGCCATTTCTTGTTCCGCCCAGCCTTTGTCGGATAATGGTTTTGATGTATGATGAAGTATGCAATACGGCAATTTTACTTGTCCATCCTATAAGCATTATGCAATGTAAATATATCTTATATAATCTAAAATATAAATTTTCTACCAAATAGCAGAATGTTCAGTGCAACATATCGCTTTACAATATGATCAAAGATTCTCGACAGTAAGAGGAACATTGAAGCTCTACTTTTACCGGAAAAACTCAGACTCGGCTTCTAGTCATCATTTTATTATGGAATAAATAATATTGCAAACAAATATTCTCACACAACCCTAAACGATATAACACATTACATACTTGTACTGTTTTGCTAAAGCACGGTGACGGTGTGTTTCTATGGTCGGGATTAAGTGTAACCATTCTGCCGCTAGGATCTTCTGTAATTATGCATACATCTCTCATCTTGTATAATTCGGATACGCTTATAGAGATCATAAAACGGCTCTCGTACATTTCGCGAAACTTGAACAACGGAAGTTTGTGTCCCGGGACTTCTTGCAACAGCATCACAATCTGGGCGCGAATAAGTTGGGGATTTGGTCCACCTGTATGCGCGTAAGATATCAAAATACGTTTGTAACCTATCTTACGACGATGCAATTGCGAAATTGCGTATTGCGCGTCCTGCAGAGATGGCACTTTAACACTGGCAGCAAAATTGCCGTCCGATTGTGTAAATATTGAGATATGACAGACCTGAAAGAATATATAAAGTTTGTTTTTTTTTTCTTTTTCTGGCAACACATGTAATCAATATTATATATAATATCATTTTTTTTAGTTATATTGAAACTTAAACTTCAAATAAACAACGTACAGACACATGCTCCATGAACACAGATGTGAGAATTCGCTTCATGTCTTTCATATCGATATTCTGATCTAAATTTGTTACTTGCAATTCTATTGGCACGTTAGCGACATTAATGCTGCTAGATCCGTTACGATTTGTAGAATTGAGAAATTTCTAAAAAAAAAAAGAAAAAAAAAACAATATTAAAGAAATCTGTTACATTTATTACAATATTAACATATTCTCTTTTATATACATATACATATATACAGGGTGTCCCAGAATTGGTGCGACATCTCTCGTAGGCAGGTAAAACTGAGTCGAAAAGTCCTAAACCATTTTTTTCTATTATTTATAATAAAGGAGTGATTGTCGAGTAAATCGGGCCAATCAGCGCCGACCTTTAGCCACACGCCTGGTGTGTGTGTGAGCGCTCCGCGCGGTTCACTGACGTGGCTAAAGATCGGCGCTGATTGGCCCGATTTACTCAACAATTTACTCCTTTATTTTAAATAATAGAAAAAAATGGTTCAGGACTTTTCGACTCGGTTTTACTCCTTCTACCTGCCTACGAGAGATGTCACACCAATTCTGGGACACTCTGTATATATATACTAAAATATATACCTCCACTTCTTCGTTTTCCGCATCGCTAAGATGCGAACGCGAAGTTTGATTGTGTAGCAAGTATGATTGCGCTACTCCTTGTAACACGCTGTTTTCATAAGGCGATGGTGTCTTTCGCGCGGGAATTTGTTGTTGATTCTTAAAACAAAAGAAAACTATTAATCACGTTTACGACTTTTACTGCATTATTTTTAACGACTAAGTTTTTTTCGTACTTGACTGTGCCACGTATTTTTTTCTCTAGTTGGTGCGTCATATAACGGGGACGGACTGCGCCGTTTAAAAGAACTGGATTGTCCTCCTGACATGTAAAATAATATATATATACTATTAAATATACAATATATTAACCAAACATAGAGCGCAAATATTCTTGAGTTTTCAATCGTTACCATTAAAATTAGATGGAATAGTTAATGAATTATATGGCAATCGTCCTCCGATCCATTCGGAGGAATGGGTAAATGAACCGTGAGTACCTCTGATACGCCTAAGGCTTTCCGAAGTACGAGAAACTGTACTAACAGCATTATCTCGAACCTGCGAGACGTGAGCTCGTTTTCCAATTACTTTCGGTTTCTCAATCTTTAAATCATCAGTGTTTTAACATAATTATTATATAAGACAATTAACAACGAAAGGTTTTTTTTTTATTAACTTATTAACTATATATAATTTATAAACCTATATGTGTTTGAATATAAAAGACTAACTTTGTACGGTTCTTCCCACACGTGGCCATATTGTTGCGGTCCTACAACCGGCCAGATTATAGGCGACTGCACTCTAGCGAGTTCATTATACGCTCTATTAATAGTTAAATCACCAGTATTCGGATATGACCTTCCATAAAATATCGGAGGAGGTTGTTGTATTATCCTGAAAAAATATAAATAAGCATAAAATGAATCAATTATACATTTCTATTTAAAAAAATCTTGTCTCATCAACCAAATATATGTTTCATCAGATAAGATCAAATATTGTTTCATTGCTCGAATCAAGCAAGGATAAAAATCTACTCGCGACTCCAGAGCTCGTTCTCGGATTCTCCATCATTTGAATAAAAAAATCGAAAAAGATTGATAAGCGTACATATGATAAAATTTGACAAACTAACCCTGTTGGTGGAGCATTGACAGTACAATGAGCATTAAGAGCAGGAGGATAAACACCCACTACGGATGACGACGACTGATAATGCGGAATTGGAAGGGTTCTTGTCCCTAATACAGAAGCGCTTGTAGCGTACATTTGTTTAGAGCCGCTTTGGTTATTGCCACTAACAATCTCCGATTCGCTAACTGCTCGACTTCGTATTGTAATATTTCCTGCAATATTATGAATCATTGTATAATAAAGTTTGACAATCGGAATAACGATTAATTTCAATAGAATAGCGTGCCAATATATAAACATACCAAAATTTTTAACAACCGTATTTTCCTTTTCCTTGTTGAGATGTTTCACTGATATTTTCGATCCAAAAACCAATTCTCCTTCCATACGCTTCTGAGCTCTATCAAAAGTAATGAAAAAAGTCACATTGTTATTGTATAGTCAACTGAACTGAAGCAGTTCAGCTCACGGATGACCTTGCAACAAGCAAGAGAATGTACAAATATAAATTTCGACACATTTTGACTCTACGACATCGAATAATTTATTAATTATTCAGTAGCGTTATTTGTTTTAAGAAGAATTATCATATCGCACTAAATAAATAAAATAGTTCTCGAGATGTTAAACTAAAGGACACACGTTCCGTGTATATATGTAACTTACTGTGTGTAAAAGCAAAACCATTAGTTAACATTTTTGTGATACAACACTTCAACACAATACACAATATAAATAATCAATAATATACATATTATTTTGTATAAAAATAAAGATTTTCTTTAACGATTGACTCTTAAATATTACTAATAATATAAATAGTACGCAGACTCTCTCTCTTATTACATATACAGATGTTCTCTTTGGTACTATTATGTACGTTACATTATATTCTCCGATATTTCAAATCTTTATTTATATTTTCATCCCTACTCTAGACCTATACGTAATGGAGAAAAGACGAATAATTTGTTTTTTCTTTTCTTTTTTTTCATATAGGGTATGTACCAATCCAATAGCATTACAGAGAATATTGAAAGACCGATTTACATGAAACTTAGGCGGGTTATTTAAATAGAAGTTCATATATACACAAAAACATATACTATAATGTGCACGCTAACCAATCAAGAAAAGTCTCAATATTAACTTTTTGAGATCACAGGTTAGAATTTTTGAAGCACTTTTGTAAACACCATGTTACTTCTAATTTTACATCTAAAAAACAAAACATAATACACATCCAGGTAGCTGCTTCTATGAAAAATTTATGTAAGATTTGTGTACAAAGTAAATTTTTCAAGAAATCAGTTTAAAAAAGAAGTAATCAAAGATTACTCGATGCTACATTTTTTAACATATTTCTTTCTTCCTTCCTTCTCTCTCTCTCTCTCTCCTACAGTTTGGAGAATCTTATCCCGAAGCGCTGTTAATGAATAACTCTCTCTCTTTTCTACAATAAGATATATACCTGTCTGCAGAAATTTGAGTTGGAAAGCGTACAATGGCAGTATTTGACTGGACATCTATCACACGACCACCACAATTGTCAGATAATTGTTTAAGACGACGCTTAATGAAAACTTCTCTTTCGTCAGGAAGGTTACTAATTAGAAGATCATAAGATTCACATCCCTGAAAGTGTTGAATTATTTCATCGATATAATGAAAATATATATATATGGAATATAAAAGACCACATAAATTAGATCACATATTTCAGAGTATTAGAAGCACAGTAAATATATAATTAACTGTGTGATATTTCTACAATATTATACTGATAATTTTCCTTCCACAAAAAACTTATTAGCTACATGTGTAAATAAAAATTAAAATAAACACAAATATTTTTTATAATATCTTATGAAACTCGCAACATTAAAACGAATACAAATATTTATATCTTATGAGAATCACAAGAGTCAATATGACAGATATAAATTATATCAGGTATTTCGCAGAATTATATAGAAGCGTTTATGTGTTAACAAATAAATCGTAAGTTATGTGTATTTTAGGAGAAATTTTATATTGAGAAATTTATATTGGCATCATCTCAACTTACACAAGACAAAAAAAGAGTATGTGGAAATTAAAAATGGAAAAATACCATGTACATTATGCTCTTAACATTATTTATTTAAAAAAAAATACACAAAAAAATATAGTTTATACAGACTTATATTATCAGTAATGGATAAAGATTCTTATTGATATTATGGATCTTCACATACCAGTCTTCATACCTTTGCTGGAGTTCTGGATGGCAGTTGTTCCGTAAGCTCCAAAAAATCATAATGCTCGTTAGCGCATAATATTAATGCTTCTGAGGTATTCTTTTTATGCAGCAGTATCACATGAATTTTTTTCCTATGACGTAAATCACTGAGATCAGCAGCAAAATTAATGTCACCGGATATTAAGATTATGGCCGCTGGACTGCCATGAATGTCGGCAAATCTTCTGATAGATTGTTTAAGCTTCTCATCTGCGGCATTCTTGCATGTAGCAGCTACATGTATTAAATTGACCTACAAATGCAAACAATAAGTCAATTAAGAAAACTACTGATAGCAATGAAATTGATGCGCAATTATTTTACCTGAGCATCATTCAATTCTTGAATGATTTGAATATTTTCTTTCTGAACATCACAAACTACAATAAATTCTGCCTCTCTGTAGCCATTAAAAAATTTGTCTCTGATTACTTGTGTCACTGCTATGGCGGATCGACCTTTAGGAACCTGTAATTTAAAAATAGTAACAATTGTAATCTTTTATTCTAAACGAAACAAAAAATTAAAACACTAACTTGACAGTTCTCGATATCCCAGAACACACCGATGGGTGGAAGATAAGATTGTTTAGCTGACATCCGTATTGGATTATCATGATACACAACAGAACAATCATGTCTACAATGAGTACTGGACAATGAAGAACCTGACGCATTGGATTCTAGTTTATAACTTCTATTATTTTCTAGTTGAATGTTATGCGATAACTGATTTGTAGCCAGAGATGACAATTTCTGTGCGTATAACAGTTGCAACAACTTCTCATTGAGGCCTTCAATTTCATCCTTTTCATCATTCGCACAAGGCGCATGGTAATCTGATTTTTTGTCTGCCATGTGTCTTACAAATTGTCTAATAGAATTCTAATATATAAGCTAAAACAAGACGAATCATTGAATTAATACAAAGATATTTTGATATATTCTGATGAAAAAAAATAAATAAATATACAAATTTCTTTTTTTATGTAATGATGATTATTATTCTTTTATATTAAAAGATATTCTTTTTTTTTTTTATTAAAAATGCAAATAAAAACAAATACTATGCTGTAAATAAATCTTTGTCATGGAAGACGCGATGCACGCGTTTAGTTCAATTTTATTTGATACTACATTCAAAGTTTTATACAATATGGATGTGCGTGTCATCAACCTCAATGTAATAATGCGATTTTTAGAAAAGTTTTTTATTCGTTACCTGAGATAATCAGCCATCGTTTTACCGTAGCGTTCTATGCAACGCTTAGGAGGAGCGGATGAAGTAACCGGCACAGCAGAACGTCAAATATATAAAACATTATGAACAAGAGTCACAAAATACACATAAATTATCGTAAAAATTCATGAGCAAGTCTATACAAGGAAAGTAAAAACAAATCTGCAAAGTGCCCGCGTGCCTTTATGCACTTTTGATACGATTATCTTATAATTTCTTCTCTTTGTTATATACTATCTCTTTAGCTTTTTCGCTCTTTTTTTTTTTTGCTCGTTCACTCATCTCTCTTTCTTCTTAGGCCTATTCTACACTAAAGTCTATGTCACACTACGGATTAGAATTGAGATTGGATTGCAATTTGGCCAATCAGAGAGAAGATCACTAAACTTAGGATTGGTTTTCTTTTTTCTAATTGGTCAAATTTCAATCTAATCTCAATCCCAATCCGTAGTGTGCCATAGGCTTAAAGACCATGGCCGCGTTCCGTTTCACGCATACGCGCGCGTTTATCTATACTATACGTCACGTGTACTATAGATAAATGCGCGCATATGCGTTAAACGGAACGCAGCCAAAAATAATGGGTGCGTTCAGACAACTCAACGGTTGAGAGATCATCACTTATGATAGGACTATTCTTCAAAATCTGCTACGGCTCCAAAAGTATGATCCAATCATAAGCGATGATCTCTCAACGGTTGAGTTGTTTGAACGCACCTAATAAGTGTGTTCAGACAACTCAACAGTTGCACAACGGTTGAGAGATAATCACTTCTGATTGGATCATACTTTTGGAACCGCAGCAGATTTTGAAGAATAGTCCTATCATAAGTGATGATCTCTCAACCGTTGAGTTGTCTGAACGCACCCATTAAAGGTACCTTGGATTGGTTTTCTTTTTTCTGATTGGTCAAATTTCAATCCAATCTCAATCCCAATCCGTAGTGTGATATAGGCTTAATAGACGGAACATTTATATGACGAAGTTGAATACAACATTAAGAGATAGTGCTGGAGTAATTGTCTCTCTCTCTTACAATAAGAACGGTGGGAGACCAATCACCTTAAGAGCCGTCTACAATGGAGAGTTGTAGGCCGTAATAGTAAGAAATTGACCAATCACAGGCAAAGTACAGAAGAATAATCGATTGTGATTTGTCAATTTCTTACTATTACGGCCTACAACTCTCCATTGTAGACGGCTCTTTAAAGCTCCTTATGTTTATGGTCTGGCCACACTTTGTCTTCTATCTTAGTGATCGTGACGTAAAATATAGCGGAACCAATAAGATATCTCTAATTTATATTTCGCGCGCGATATTATTCAATATAAGGCTAGTATTACATTTGTCTTACGACAAAGATTTTAAATATATTGATTGGCTATCAAATAGAGTTTTTTATAAAACTCTATCTGATAACCAATCAACATACTTCAAATCGTTGTCGTACGACAAATGTAATATTAGCCTGTAAAGAGCCGTCTACAATGGAGAGTTGTAGGCCGTAATAGTAAGAAATTGACCAATCACAGACAAAGTACAGAAGAATAATCGATTGTGATTTGTCAATTTCTTACTGTTACGGCCTACAACTCTCTATTGTAGACGGCTCTTAAGGCCTGTTCTACGATACTGTCGTAAGCTGTAAGTCGTAAGAAATTGACTAATCACAGACCAATTACAGAAGAATAATCTATTGTGATTGGTCAATATCTTACTACTTACGGCTTACGACTGTATTGTAGAACAGGCCTAAGAATAGAACGCGGCTAATCTTTCTCGCTTGTTCAAGAGCGCCAATGTTCAGAGTGATGTACAGCGGCAACTACATAGCTATATCTACGAGTGGCTTGTCCTTTGATATGTTAAGCCCCTTGCACAATGGAAGGAATAGCGATAGCGATAGAAATAACAGTTTTAAGCCCCTTGCACAATGGACGCAATAGCGATAGCGATAGAAATAATACCAGTTGTAAAGAGTTTATATTTATAAATAACGGTAGGAACAGCGGGAATCTAACATACAAAAATACACATGTATCAATGCAGATCAGAAAATCGGAATAAGCAATAGCGATGAAATTTCCGACGAGTTGGAATTCTGTGTCTAAAACTGTGTTATTTCTATCGCTATCGCTATTCCTTCCATTGTGCAAGGGGCTTTAAACACAGAATTCCAACTCGTCGGAAATTTTATCGCTATTGCTTATTCTGATTTTCTGATCTGCATTGATACATGTATTTGATACGTGTATTTTTGTACGTTAGATTTTGCTGTTCCTACCGTTATTTATAAATATAAACTCTTTAAGCCTCTTGCACAATGAACGGAATAGCGATAGCGATAGAAATAACAAAAGTTTTAAAAAGTTTATATTTAAAAATAAAAGTAGGAACAGCGGAATCTAACATACAAAACTACACATGTATCAATGCAGATCAGAAAATCGGAATAAGCAATAGCAATAAAATTTCCGACGAGTTGGAATTCTGTGTTAAAAACTGTGTTATTTCTATCGCTATCGCTATTCCTTCCATTGTGCAAGGAGCTTTACAACTGGTATTATTTCTATCGCTATCGCTATTCCGTCCATTGTGCAAAGAGCTTTAGTGTGCACCTCATTGCGATTTCTGCCGTATGCGCAAAAACGTGCGCATTGCAGCGCCAATTTACAACACACACAAAATGTGTCCATGACCGCTTTTCTGTGCGATGTGTAATAAAATATTTAACAAATTTTTTGAATATAAATTATAATTACTATATGCAATACTGTTTTATATATATTTATGTATTTATGCAAAAATCCAGTCTAAAAGAGCTTTTTATTTATACTAAAATTCTTTCTCACTACGTATAATAAAAGTTTCTTAAATTGCAAACAAATATCTAAATGAAAATTTTACGCGTATCATTGACAACTTGTGCGCGGCGCAGAAAATAATCAAAAAATATCGAAAATAAATTTAGCTCGTGCAAACACTCTTTGTAAGTTTTCTTTGTAAAGACCTAATTAGCAATTTGCGAAAGCTTTATTTTATGTATGACGCGCATGAGTACAAGAGAAAAAGACGAGAAGGTTTCTGCGCAAAGGGTATTCCGCAAAAGGAGAGCGAAACGCGCGGCGAGAGCCGTCGCTCGCTGGTGCTCTTATATATATATGTGTGTGTATGTGTGTGTGTGTAGATAAAAAAAAAAAAAAAAAGTATAAATAACGGAGTGAGGTGTAGATAAGAGCGGGACGACGTATGCGTTTTCGTATATAGCGAGCAATAATGCTGCAAGTTGCGAGGAAACGTATGTTCAATGCACCCTTCGCAGCGATCGCTACTCTGACGCTGACTCTGCTGTTGCTTGTCGATCAAGTAAGAAACAACGATAGAAAGCCCCCGTACGAAATGCCAATTCGCAATTGATTCGCGATTATATACGGTATATCGCTCTTGTGTACACGTATATAGAATAAGAGATTAATTGTGCGCATTGTATAAGAGATATACGTGGTTGTGAAAGAAAACACGTTTCGCACCCTCGCCTCGTACACTTTTTGTCCGTTCAGCTTCTCGCGCTCCTCGATCAATAACATGCTCGTCTCGCCGTGCTTGTCATTTGCGCGTAAGTGTTTTTTCACGCTTTTTTTTAACCCATTAACGACCAACAGATTCAATATTTTTATAAAGAATGAGATTTTTATTATAAGTGAATAATTTTATTATAACCGACTCTATATACATATATATATATATATATACATATATATTTTTTTTTTGTGTTATTTATATAATACAATATTATATGTAATGTTATATAAACATATGTGTGCACGTATATTGTATAGTATTAAAATTTATTTGTTTAGTAATAAAAAAAATTAATTAAGAAAATATTGAGAAAAGATTGCTGCATATGATATACTTTGCTACTTTTTTTTTTCTATTTCACGTACGTCTCATGAAATGGGACGTAATTTTTTTAACGCGAAATTTATAAATAGATCCATATTTTCAATAAGTCTAAAATTTTTTAAATCTATCTTTTTGGAAAATATAAAGACGTATCGTACTTTCAATTAAATTTTTTTACATTCTAGTTATGGTCTTTAATGGGTTAACCGTCCAATTCCGAAAGGCTCTGCGATTTTTTACAACTATTTGATTCTCACGGAAGAAGATCGCTACTGCCAAAATCACACCGATTTGAGTATAAATCAGCGTTGTATAATGTCAAAGAAATTATGAATTATTTTATTATTACAAAAAAACGTGATGCGAATGTGACGTATGGAAAAGTAAGATTTCTTCGAAGATGACTTTGAGTACATTTTATAATAAATCTGTTAATGTAACAATATTATATAACACATTAATATAACATTTAAAATAACAAACATTAAAAACCCAAAGCCATTTCTCTCTCTCTCAATAATAAAGTGTGTGTAATAAACTAATGACTTAAGTCAGTTTATTATTTTTCTAATCAAATTTGATTAGAAAAATAATAGTTAAGTATAATAAACTTAACTATTATTCTAAAAGAACAATAATATGTAATTTATAATATTTTATTTTCTAAAGGTGTCTTCTAGGCTGTGCGATGGAGGACACGTGTAAGTTTAATGTTTCATATAAGTAATTTACAATATGCTGAGAATATAAATACTTTGAAGAGATATATATATATATATAATATAAATATAAATATTAAAAAGTATAATATTATTGCTTTTAGCTGCTCTCATCCAAAAGAGTGCTGTCCTCTTGGTTGTTGTTACAGTCTTTTTACACCAATGCATCTTCATATTTCAGAAATGTTCAATTTCCTGATTTGGACTTATTGGTATTTGTGGTTAGTATTTTTTTTTGAGTATTTACATTACAGAATAAGAGCGGAAAATGCAAAAAAGTTTTTTGCATATTTATAATACACACACACACACGCACGCACATATGTGTATATATATACACATTTACATACACACAAAGATCTTGCAAAATAATTCTAAAATATATATATTTGGGTTTATATAGGGTTGCAGTGCTTGTAGCCTTAGCTATAGCTGCAATATGCGGCTTCTGGTTGTGGAAACGTCATCGTTCCTCACTATCGGAAGATTGCACATCTTCCGAAAGAACTTCCACAGGTCCATGGTATCCGCCTCCCCATTATAGCCGATGTAGTTCCTTTGTTCAGGCATTGCCACCACCGTATAACGAGGTGGGTACTTTCAAATTTATATCGTTGTATTGTTCAACACACAGAACATCAAATAATAAGTGTATATAAATATAATAATATGTAAACTTTCACTGTGTGTGTGCGTGTGTGCGTGTATACAATACAATTTATATATTTAGGTAACTGCAAAGCCAGACCTTTATCCATTAGTGATCGGTTACGAAGACAGTTCGGGTAAAGGAACATCCGGTTTTGTAATGCGTTACTTCAGATCATTATCTCACGCAAGTACATTAGATTCGTTAAGCTCCAGCTTCATGTACAACATGGTGAACGAAGCGAACACTATTATTCCACCGCCGTATTCTTGCAACAATAGCGTCGACGGATTATCGGCGACAGAGTGCGAGAGAAGAGAGACTGGCGATATGAGTTCGGTTGTATCTCTGGCAAATCATCGAACAACCTCTGACATATCAAGTTTAGCTGCTCAATCACCTTGTTCTCCACCGAGAGCTACCAGCCCTACAATAGAAGTACGTACATTCTTTCTTGTATTATAAAAAAAATCAAAATCAAAAATTTTTTTTTTTTTTTTCAGTTGCGAGAACTATTGGATAAGATACAACAGCTTCCTCATTTGTCCGCTGGACACACCACTATTAAACATTGTCAGCAGACTCAAGCCCCGGTATTGTACGTAACGAACGGTGGCAGTACCACGCAACAACGGTCACTAAGTCCGAGCGATGTCGGCTCGTACAAAATCAGAAGAACGAGGGGCAAATTGTACATGCCATTGGGGTTGCCGAGTTCACGAAGTAAACCCAAACGGTGGTTGTCGCGCTCCGCGCCGACAACGCCTTCGGGCGCGATACCGATGCCTTTTTTGCCGATCCAGAATAGAAAACCCTCGGAAGTCGATACCAATAATCAGCAAGTAGTGCCGCTACTTTCCGAACAGGATGAGAACGAAAATAACAACGCGGAACGGATACCGTCCAGCGTCTCCGTGTTCGCCGAACAGGAAGAAGATCGAGAGTCGACATGACATATAGTTTAATAAAATCATTTTTGCGTTTCTCGAGATCTCGATGTTGTGAGAGTTTTATGCGCGAATTGTTCAAATACATACACATAGTCACAAGTTTTAAAACTTTTTTACGGCTGTGTGTGAAGTTACATATGGCGGCGTATATTTTACATATACCCTTATCACACAAATTTATGCACGTACAGAGCGTACTCGGAGCGTATCTAGAGATATGTGTAGATATATGACATATTGGTTAAACATCTAAAATTTTTTTTATTACTTAATATATTGTTAAGTTAATATATATTTAAGCTTTAAAAAAAAAAAAAAAATATATA